ACATTAGTTCATAAGTTTTGACCATTTCACTGGAGCAAGAAGGCTGGCAATAGATGTCACCATATGAAATGGATCAGCTGTGCCAGGATGCTGTACATTATGCATTGATTTATTCCACAGACCTTTTATGTGTTTCCATATAATCTTTGAGAAAATGCAAAATACAAACATTTAGAAGCTACATCTCCTCCTAATTACCACAAGCATAAATCAAGACTATTTCTATCAAAATCAATGGTGTTAGAACAATATAAAGCTGGTGTATATGAGAAGATAAGCAATACCATATGTCCTGATTTTCAGAGGCAGAATACCACAAGTCACCTTAAAACCAGTTTACATTATGGGTGTTCAGAACCCCTGCAAAGCAGACCCACAGACATAAGACCTTGACTGTGCAAACACTAACACACATGCTTAACTTTCAACATATGAGTGGAGCTATTGAAGTTATTAGGTCTGCTCATGTGCTTTAAGTTAAGCATGTGCAAAATTTTTGTAGTATCTAGACCTTAAAGTATCAAAGAAAATAAAAATAAAGAAGTTTTAGCCTTTGAACTTTTGTACTGGTGATCAAATTAAGTGCTTAAAAAGATTACAGAGCACATTGCAAATAATTCATTCTGCTATTATAATTCAATTCTCTGTTTTTGTTATTAGGGACCTATAATTATACTGTTCTCACTTCTTTAGTTACTGTTTGATCACATTAAAGTTCAAATAGATTCATAAAGGTGATCCTGGACAGTCCAGAGGGACATTCTACAATTAACTTAATCTGTAAAATGTGCAATTTAACTTTATTCTGCTGCTGTATGTCATGAAGAAAGAGCATTTATAACATCAGTACAAGATTTCCAAAAGACTATTTGCAGTTTTGTTATATTTAAAGGGAACATAAAGATAATTGATGTTGGCCTTTGAAGTTTTAATGCATTTAAGAAATATAGTATACCCAAAGAGGGTTTATCCCAGGAACAATTGGCACTGCAGATTTACTTTTTCCACATGGGTTTCATTTGCAAAGAGATAGTGAATCAAGGCAGATGGAGTCACATCACTTCTCAGATGGAGTCACATCACCTATGAAACACTTAAAATTAATCAGAACAATACAATTGTCAGTGAAAAGAAGGAGAAAAAACCCTCTGTAAATCTCAAGCATTTTAAGACTATGTTAAAGGCTTAAAATTGTAGCGCATATTCCAAAAATATAGAATTTCTACAGAATTGTTCAGTTAGGTGAGAAATCTGCTGAAAGTTGTAAATCTCTGTATCCAGGACAACAACATCTATTCATCAGAAATCAGTGTTTACTTAGACTGTTGAAGCTTCCGGATCTTGATATAACTTGGCTTTTGCATAATCTACTCCTGAACCAAAAAAATGAAATATCTCCTTACCTTGTGGAAAACATTCCACAAGGTTCTATTATTCCTATTCTTTCCCTTTTATACCAATAATAATATCAAATACATTTCACTAAACCTTATTAGAGTCCTGGAATATATATCTACTGGATTGATAGGTCCTTGAAGCAAATAGCAGATCTGCTGCTGATATTATTCATTAAATCCAAAAAGTCATTCAAAAGGTCAAATTCTCACCTGAAGTAAATCACCATAGCTCTCTTGAAACTAGTTAACTAACAGCAGCTTGAGGCCATGTTCCAAAAGTAGTTATATGGAAGTCTTCTCCAACATCATTGCTGATAATACCTCTGCCATCAGTCTTGTAATAATAAATAATAGCAAGACTATGTTGTGTTGACTTAAATTTAGATTCTCAGGGCACTTTAAAAGTTTTGTGCTACTAGCCTCAGAGGAGGAAAAGTAAGGTACAGAAGACTTAGGTGACTTGCCAAAATTACACAGAGTTAATCATACAACTGACATCTAAATCCTATTCCCCTACACTGGCCATTAATCAATGACAGTGAATGTTGTAAAATGACAATGAATGTTGGTTTGCAGGATGAAGGCAGTGGCTTATAGTGTTGAAAATGTATACAGCAAATGAAATAAAAAAGCTGGAGCCTACTGACAAAATGCAGCAGTTGAAAAGCTGTGTGTCCCTGATGAGTATGCCCCCGCCTGTCTTTTCATTAAAGGTACGCAGAGACTAAGCCTAAACAGAAACAGATACCTTCAGTTCTGCATCTCCTCCAATATTACTGTAGAGACATTTATAGAGCCACGCAGGTCTGGGGGCGTAAAGTCTATATAGCAGCTCTGAGTGAAAATCAGAATGCTGTCTCAGCTGGCTGCTGTGTGCTGTCTCTCATGAATTTTATGTCCCATCTTTACATCTCAGGACCGATAACATGAAAAGTTTTAGTTACCCAAATGAGTAAGTCCTACCTGCTCAGCCATCCTTTTATTTAAATAGCTATCAGTCTAGTGTAGGATCGAATCCTGCATATTTTGCATTATCCCAAATTCTTATTGAGATACAGAATCAGGCTCATAGTTTTATTCAACACAAGGATGCTTCTTGTATAAATATTTGTTTTGAAATATCAGATGAGATGTTCCTTGTGGGTGTGTTAAGAAAAGAACTAATGCAATAGTTTATTACCATAATGAGATTCTGGGCAGGTCTGCTCTAGAATCCTTCCCTGGTATAGTAATGCTCCTTAGGTATGTGATTGATTTATTTATATATTTTTATACTGGCAAAAAGCTTTACTGCTGGTGAAGTTACACTGACATAAAATGCTTTTCCTAGGAAAATTTATTTTCCCTGAGGAACTTGTATAATTTCAGCTAGGAAGAGCACTTATAAACTTCAGTGTACACCAGTATATTGTCTTTGCCAGGTATGCCCTTTGTCTTCTGTGTTGCATTCTCTCTTTTGCTAGTATTAGGCTGCTAGTACCTGCTTCTTTCTTCTGTTCAAAGTTATTGTTATGATTATTTGTATTACAGCAGCACCTAGAGGTCTCCAGTATGTGCAGACCAAGGAACAGAGTTAAAAAGGGAAATGAAATTTTGAACGCGCAATATTAAAGATTTAATTACACTTTTCTTGAAAAAACAAATGAGTATTAATCAATGGAATAATTAACTGTATAGGAGAGGCGGAGGGAAGAATGCCTTTGGGAAGATAAGTCTGGGTTGAAATGCAAGGTGTAGAATTTTTCTCTTGACTTTTCTGCTTTATGTTGTAGTTTTGTGGTGTTGTCAACATTACCCCCTAAGGAAAAGCCCTTGCTGGCTTTTCCTCCTGCTGTTTAATATGCACCCTTCAATGAGATTTCTCAAGATTAGGGACAATGACACACTTTTTCCAATAGTTGGAAAAAGTACAAGAAAAGCCTGCGTTTACCATTGCTGAAAATGTACTTTTTCTGTGGATAAGAGACAATTTATCTAAAGTGCTCTGAGAATCTATATTTAAGTCAACACAGCATAGTCTTGCTATTATTTATTATTACAAACTGATGACAGAGGTTTTATCAGCAATGATGTTGGAGAAGACTTCCATATGACTACTTTTGGAACATGTCCTCAGCTGCTGTTAGTTAACTAGTTTCAAGAGAGTTCCGGTGTTTTACTTCAGGTGAGAATTTGACGATTTGAATGACTTTTTGGAGAATTTGACCATTTGAATGACTGTGGATAAGAAATTTTACTTTATAGTAAGGAAGCCTCCATAAACAGTTTATTAAAAGTTAACAAATGACTGCCAGGCTGAACAATTATTGCTGAGTCTAACAGGTCAGCAAATTCCTTTGAAACATCTCTAACACTTTGTGTTGATATGCTTACAAACACATACTGTTTGGCTAGGGACAGATATTCAAAAAGCCTGAGCCTGAATTGATTCAATCTTTGCAGGTTAGTCTAACCTGGCTAGGCTAAATCAGTTTTGTAACCAGACAGGCATCCCAGAAATGCAGGCACATGCCCACAGTGGCTCAGGCTAGAAGCTGGGGTGGGGGGACGGGGGGAGTGCTAGAGCAGCCCTCCCTTCCCTTCCCTTCCATAAGACGGAGCTGAGGGGGGTGTAGCCAAGCCCTGGCAGGATGCTCTGATTATTCCCCCCCAACCTCCTATGCAGCCCAGCAGGGAATGTTTATCACCCCTAACTCAGTGTTTATCAACCGATTTAGAAAACAAAGCCTCTCTTCATTAACTAATGGAGCTCTTCTTAAACAGCTCTTCTAAGGAAGAACATTAATCTACCTGTTGATTAGCTCCAAAAGCCTGTTTGCCTGTTGTTTCCCACAGCACAGACCATAGCCAGCATGTGGTCTGCTAGCTAATGCTGAGGTGTCTGTGTAAGGCAGAGGGGAGTGGGGAATAATTCCTGCTTAGCAGGGGGAAGCCAGGCAGATGGTCTGTGCCTGCAAGTCTCTACCAGAGCTCTGGCCAGGGAGCAGAAGGGAAGGGGCCAGCCCTGCTATGGGGCAGAGAGCCCCACCCAGCCCAGAGAGCATGCCGAGATGCTGGGGTTGTCTGGTTTATCTTAAACCAGTAAGGGCTCTGACACAGACACATTGCATAAATCAGTTTGACCCAAATCAGTTAAGTCTGATACTACATTCAACCAGGTTTATCTCAAACCAGTTTCAGCCATTTTCAGATTGGTTTATATGCACTGAACATCTGTTCTGTTACAGGTTTAAATCAGCTTCTGATCACTTAAACCAATTTATGTGTAATGTCTGTCCCTAGCCTTTATGTCTGTAATATGCTTATCACATCTGTTAATCTTTTATTAATCCTTTTTGTGCTATTCAAAATGTATCCTTAACATCAACCATAACTGGACAAACAAAGGGCCGCCAGCGTATTTTACAAGAACTAAACTCACCTTCAAAAGATACACAGCATAGTACATTCAGGAATGGAGAAAAATGGTCTACAGCTTTGTCAAGGATTCTTTGTGCAGATCACAAGTGTCTACACTTCACTATATAGTGGTATTTGCTGATTTGTTGTTGTTGTTTATTAATGCAGTGCCTCTTTTAACAATTTCATTTTATTTTCTCATAGGGTCCTCAAGGACTGAAGGGTCATCCAGGTCCACCTGTAAGTGTGGATAGCACCATTTTATATAACCTTCCCTTGCATGCATAATTGAAAGACACTTGCAGTAGATTCTAATACCTGATTCCTCTCCTTTTGTAGGGTCTACCTGGACCACCTGGGAACAGAGTAAGTTTCAACACTGTTTTTTACAGTATGCTACAGTACAATGCAAGCCCTCATTGTTGCAAATAAAAATGTTGACGCCCTCTTCATAGGTATTGCTTTCTTCAGCATCTTGTAAAACTGAAATGTTCTTTCATATAAATCTAATAAATAAATAAACTAATAAATAGTACCTATTGCTTTAATGTGGAAGCTGACAATGGTTTCTAATCCTTTTACCTCACACATTTCAGCTCTAGTTGTCAGCTACGTCGTTTAGTCTTAAGCAAAATCTAGGCTTATGCTCACAAACTTGGGTATGATGGTGCCCAGGCTCTGAGAACAACCTTTGGTTATGTTTGTATGGTAAAGTCCCTAGTGCCAGCACCCTCAAGCACACTGACTTTCTTTGGTGGACAGCTTCCTAAATCCAGAAGCAGATTAGATCATGCTGTTTGTTGTGGATCTTTTTTGTGCACCTTTTTCTATTTACATAAATAGGCTTGTATAAGAGCTATACATGTGTTACGTTACACTGATGGGAGGACTAGTTTGAATCATAGAATCATAGGGCTGGAAGGGACCCCGAAGGATCATCAGGTCCAGCCCCCTGCATGAGCAGGAAAGACATCTGGGATCAGACAACCCCAGCCAGGTGACCATCCAGTCTTCTCTTGAAGACCTCTAGGGTAGATGACTGCAGCACCTCTGGAGGGAGCTTGTTCCATAGTCTGGACACACTAGTTGTAAAGAAGTTTTTCCCAATGTTCAGCCTGAAACTATCTTTCAGGAATTTGTGGCCGTTGTTTCTAGTTTTCCCCCAGGACACCCTGGTGAACAGTTGTTCACCGAGCCCCTGATGTACGCCTCTGATATAGTGGTGAGCCGCAATCAGGTCCCCTCTCAGCCTTCTTTTCTTTAGGCTGAGGAGTCCAAGATCCCTCAGCCTTTCCTCATATGGCTTGCCATACAAGTCCCTAATCATGTGGGTGGGGACCCTATCAAGCTTTAGCACATCCTTCTTGAAGTGCGGCGCCCAGAACTGGACACAATACTCCAGCTGCGGCCACACCAATGTTGAGTAAAGTGGGAGAATCACTTCTTTGGATTTACTGGAGATGCACTGCTGGCTCATATTTATGCTGGGGTCTATTGTTACCCCCAGATCCCTTTCATTTGTAGTGCTGGTCAGGTTAGCGATGCCCAGCCTGTAGGTGCGCTGGGGGTTCTTCCTTCCCAGATGCAGCACTTCGCACTTCTCTATGTTGAACCTCACCTGGTTCCGTTCTGCCCAACATGCCAGTCTGTCTAGGTCTGCTTGTATCTGCACCCTATGGGCCAATACATTATTGCCATTGATAGTATCATTCTCTTTCAGGAATATACTTGTGAAAAGAAAATAAAGTGATATATTTTTACCTCTATAATCATTTTAGACATTTCATTCTTCCATTTTTTCTGGGGGCTTTGTCTTTTTAAAAATAAGAATTCAAATAGTATGCGAATCAGTGGTTGCAAAGCACTTTACTAACATAATAAAAATGCCTTAAATATTTTGGCGAAATAGGCTTTTTTGTCCTTTGAGATCAGTATACCTTATCTGAACTATGTTTTTTACCCAGAGACTTGTATAGGATCCATCAATTAAACCAATATGTTCCTTCAACAACACCAGGAAAATTTACAACCTTAGTTGTAGAATGTTCTTTATTGCTATTACTGCTTCTCTGAAAAGATTTTTGTTGTAATGCAGAAACAAATGGACATCAATGCTGCTATTCAAGCCTTGATCGAATCAAATGCTGCACTACAGATGGAGGTAATATATTTTACTTTATTTACCTTGGCACATAGAGAGTATCCAAATTAAAAAGAGTTCGTTTAAAGCCAAAACAGGGTTCCTTTACAAAGATTTTATTTTAAACACATTGAAAATTCAGAGACTATTTTGTAAAGAAAAAAAATGTATAATATGATGAAATGCAACTGGATATATAGAACACAATATACCTTATGTCAAGGTAAAAAGAAAACCCCATAGTAATCCTGTTGTTTAATCATGATTAACAATAAAAGAAAGGCATTATACAATATTATACAACATTATATAATATGAGGTTTATATCTTCAACTTCATACCTGAAGATGAGAACCATTTAGGCTCTGATCCAGCAAATACTTATATGTAATCTTAATTTCTTGCAGTTATGTAGTCCCATTGACTGTTTACCCATTGAGATTACGTATGTGAATTTAAGTGTAATTGTACATGTTTGCAGGATTGGGCCCTACAGCTTGACTTTACTGTTCAAAATTTGAGAATGCAAAGCATCACTTATTAAATATCTTAATTTCTTTTCTTCTTTTCTTTTTTCTGTTTTCAAATTTCATGTCAATGTTTTATAACAATGTATTTGCATGATTTTAACTCGACTCCAATTTCTTTGCTCCAATACATATATATATTTAATGTACTAATTTGTTTTAATGTAAATCAATCATTCTTAATTACCTCATATCTGGATGGCTGCATGTATCACAAACACCTTTCATTTCTCTCTGGATCTTCAATGGGCACTTAATTTAACTGCATGTGCTATTGCTATGGTATTTCTTTGTGCTAACACACTTGCTAATGAATGACCCCTTGACAGAGGTACCAGAATACTGAAGTAACGTTTCTAGATCACAGTGCAGAGATATTCAAAACATTACACTACCTTAGCAACTTACTGCAAAGTATCAAGAACCCCCTTGGCACCCGAGATAATCCAGCACGCATCTGCAGGGATCTGCTTAACTGTGAACGGAAAGTGTCAGATGGTGAGTATTTGTGTTGCTCAAATCCTCACTGTCACTACAGTTAGATTATCTTCTTTCCACATGTTAATTTTTTCAGAAAAAAATTTAATGAGTAGCGTTATAAAGATAAAATATCTTTAAAATAAAGATATATTTTTATGTTTCTGAATATTATTTGCAATCACATGACTATCTGAAACTGATTTGGTCTCTGTGGGTGGTAAAAAAAAAATGCTACTTCCAGGTTATTCCAGAGATGAACTCATTATGAGTGGCAAAACCTTTTCTCAAACTTGCACTTTCTCATTGAAACGATGGTTCGTGTTGGTGTAAAGCAGGAGTAACTCATCTGAAGTCGTCTGATGTATAGCTGGTGAAAACAAGGCTTAATGATTTAGCCTGGAAATATCAAAGGATCTTAAGAAAGTGATACAAAAAATGAGAACTCTTGGTTCCAAAATGATACCTTTTATTAGACCAACTGGAAAATGGCAAGAAAATTGTCCCTTTCTGCAAGCTTTCGGGATCAAAGTCCCTTTGTCAGGCTCTGGGAAAAGTGTAGATGGTACAAGATGGTAGAAAGTTCCCTTAGGTAGGAAGTAAACTTCATTTTTGCATAGAGGGAGCTGAAGATGGAAGGCTGTCCCTCTGGGTCCATGAGAGTGTGTGAACTGTGCTGAGTAGCTCTTTGATGTGTTGATCAGGTAGAATTCCTTCTCTGGAGGTGTCAGATGGCAGGCAGGGAGGTAAAAAAACTTCCTTGTTCTTCTGCAATGAAATTTAAAATCCAAAATCAGCTAAAATTCGGCATCTTCCATGTTTCAGGGGTGTACTTGGTAGCCGTGTTGGTCTGAGACAAAAAGACAGAAAAAACTAGAACTCTTGGTTCCAATCCTTAAGAAAGTGAGGCACCCAACTCCCACTGAATTTCATTTCCATTCATTCAGCTTCATTCATATTTAATTCCTTCATGTCCTTTTGAAAATCCAAGCTTTAATCTGTCCATCTATGTTTATCTCCTCTGCCTTTTACCATGTTACATTTACTTGTACCTGTTAACAATTAGTCACAGATTTATTGTTCTAAATTTGAAGGTGAATGATATTTTCAGAATTATAAATATATTTTCTAACACTAGGACACTAACTCCTAACACCACATTCACAGGGATTTGTATTTCAACAGACCTGTCCTATATTGCTTAAACTGGCACAAATCTGTTTGTTTTTCATTAATTTGATGTATACAGACTGAATGCAAGATGTATCTTTGCTGATAAATTAGAGTTTTCTGCTTACACCAAGACCCTCAGGATTTGCAACTTGATAGAGTTGGTCATATTGGCCTAAGTAGTAACAGCATTATTCTGTTTCACTTTATGCATTCAAATGGAAGACTTCCAGCCACACAGCTGCTATTTTTGGCATTTACATGCAGTTTGCAATCCTGCTACATGTGCAAAGTGGACGCACAAATACCCACATGATTACTGAACATAGCTCCTTATATGTGTATGTTGAAAAGGACACAAAAAAGAAGATGAAACCATTGTATTCACTTTGTACCTCAGTGTAAACATTTTGCTTCTGGTTATAAACACAGGGTAACTCTAGTAAAGTCAAAGCCAATCTAAATTTAGTAATCTAACATTCACCCCAAATTGTGGAAAGTTGGCATTCTTTAACAGCAGTTATATCTTTCTCTCCTTTCTCTCTGGGATTATAAATTGTTAGGAAAATACTGGATTGACCCAAATATTGGCTGTCCTTCTGATGCCATTGAGGTTTTCTGTAACTTCACTGCTGGTGGCCAGACATGTTTATCACCCGTCTCTGTGACAAAGGTAGGCATTGCTTCTCAGTGGAATATGCTTCTGTGTTTAACTCTGAACAATAATTTACTTAATGATTACCTTGGCCAGTTTGATAAGTGTTGGCCTATTAATTTTGCCATAAATTAGATCCATCTCTGTTTAATCCAATTGTTTAATGTGTTTCTACTTTTGTACATCTCCCTGTTTATCTTTCTATATATCTATAGAAAGAGTATATATTCTATATATTCTTTAGCTGTAGTATTTAAAGTGGTCCCCCTTCACTGTGTTGCCCACTTCAGCAGTCACAAAGATGGTGGGAGACAGAGTATACCCATGTATTTTTTACAGTGTCCATTTATTTATTTTAGCACTTTTTGAAAAATTTAACAATGCAAAATGTAAAAACATTTCAGAATTGCATATAGACAGCCTAAATAGCCATCATTTAAGACAGATAAAATCCTCTTTTAGTAATACTGACATCATTGCAATAGTATTGACAAAAGGGTTGCTGCTCTTGAACATGTAACTAAATTTAGGTACAAAGCAGTTTCTCCTCCTGTCATGAAATGCATGTTCACATATTTTAATTTACATTTAGATCTTAAAGAAACCAATTTAATGTTCTGTGTACACACACACACGCGCGCGCGCGCGTACTTTTACCTCCTGAAGAGTGCCACAGACATCTTTGGAGCTATGAGAGAGATGGTCCGTTGGAAGAAAAATCCAAGAGGTTCCCTTCACTGAGTTTCTCCTATATTGTTAGGTGTGTGAGGGGACCAGGGGGTGGAGAGTTGTGGGGAGGGTCTTTCCTTCTAATTGAATGAGACACAGTCTTCCCCTAACTGTATGGATCCACTGGGATTCTGTCTGCTTCAGGACCTGGGGCTTCATGCCAGCTGAGTCCCCAGCATGCTCTATTCCTATCAAGCAACCAAATCTGTTGGATCTGCATTACTAGTGACCCCCAATCCCCCCAGCCACAGTTGAGTGATATAGTGTGAGCAGAACAATGAATGAGAGTTAGGAAGTTCTGAACTCTGCTCCAAAACTTCCAACTGACTTTGTGCATGTGTTTGTTTGAATCACTTAAACAAGAAGTTTTCTCATCTGGAAAACAAAGCCAGCTACCTACCTTTTCCTGCACTATAGTGATGTTGTAACCATTAAGTAATTATTGTTTAAAATTCATTTAAAAAGTGTTAGCGTTGAGAGGGTCCAGAGGAGGGCCACTCTCATGATCAGGGGGCAGCAGGGCAGGCCATACAAGGAGAGACTAGAGGGCCTTAACCTATTCAGCCTCCACAAGAGAAAGCTGACGGACAATCTGGTGACAGTCTACAAGCTCACCAGGGGAGATCAGCAGGGAATAGGAGATGCCCTGTTCCCCTGAGCACCACATGGGGGTAACTATGAATAACAGCCACAAGTTGATAGAGAACAGGTTCAGGCTAGACATCAGGAGGCATTACTTTACAGTTAGGGCGGCTAGGACCTGGAACCAACTTCCAAGGAAAGTGGTGCTCGCTTCTACCTTGGGGGTCTTTAAGAGGAGGCTGGATAGACACCTGACTGGGGTCATATGACCCCATCATGCGTTCCTGCCCAGGGCAGGGGGTCGGACTTCATGATCTGTTTAGGTCCCTTCCGACCCTAGCTACTATGATACTACTATAAGAAGGTATGCATTATATAGACTTGTATACAATAATGTGCAATCATTATTATGATAATTATGGGTTCCAAATTTCTCTCTAACCAACAAACTTCTTGAAGAAAGCCAGAGATGTGCACTTTGCTTTGTGTCCCACATTAATGAATAGAGCTAATATTCAGTATAAATGTCACATTTATATGCCAAGTCTTTCTAATTGCACTCTCACCGTTGTACACAGTACAGCTGCATGTCTATCAATGCACATTTCTTTTTTTTTTCCTTAGTTGGAGTTTGGAGTTGGAAAAGTGCAGATGAATTTTCTTCATTTACTGAGCTCAGAAGCAACCCATACCATCACAGTTCACTGTCTGAACACACCAGTATGGGGAATAAATGAGGCAGGTGCCCAGAAAACATCTGTTAGCTTCAAGGGATGGAATGGTCAAGTGTTTAAAGCAAATACACTACTTGAACCAAAGGTGCTTCTGGATGAGTGCATGGTAAATACAATTTGGTATCATTAACCTAATGGTGGAGTTTACCAACCTTTCCTCAGTGAAACTTGTTTGTATGCTCATACATATATGTCATCTAGATATTATTCAACACATGAAGCTGACTTCCTTTTATGTCATTTACAAGTGTGTCAATGTGTGTCAGCCATTTGATATGATCCAGAGTATATCCAGTGCTACCAGAAAATGCATTTGGGCAGGGAATCCACTCTTGCTCTTAGCATTAGATCCCATGCTCCCTCTTGTTAATCCTACCAGGATATGAGAGATGACAAACCAGAGACAGAAAATCCTTCAGGAAACCAAGGATCAGTCAGACTTGCTGTGAAAAAAGAGGCTGAGGCATAAGTTGTTGGTAGTATCTGAATAAGGCTAAACCACAGGAAGGGGCAAGTTCACAGAAGGCAGAATACTATTACTAATGACAAGTATCATTAGTTTCAGTAGCTGTCTCAGGTATGTCGTTATGTAATAAATTGAAGGTAGAGAGAAAATGAAACTTTAGTTGCTTAATACATTCCATATTTTGGACTTTTATTGGGAAAAATCAGAATACTTAATCAATTTCCAGTGGTTATTAGATGAACTCTATTTGCAGGCAAGATGTTCCCTTAAATCACTGGTTCTTATAGAACTCAAAATAATTCCTATTTTTGTTACAGCAGCTGAAAAACATTGAATTCTATTTTGTGCTAAGTAGAATGAAGGTTGTAGCATTGTCATGTAATCCTTCCATATGTGGAACTCCTAAAATCACAGGGAGATTTGTATGCAGATAGATAATGTGATGTTAAACCCTAGAAAACTATCATATGGGCGTAAAATGCCACCAAAAAATAGAACTGTAAACCCACTAACACATGTAATATTTTTATAACCTCTGTGGTGTAAGCAACTAGGTACAAGGAAAAATCAGGCCCTCCTGATAAAAATGTGTCAAGAATTCTCCAGTGTGTTCCTGGAGAATATAAGCCACTAACAGTGACAGAATCATAGAATTATAAAAAATTAGGGTTGGAAGGGACCTCAGGAGGTCAGTGCCATGGCAAGGAAGTTTGGCACCTGAGGCAAAGCCCACAATGGCAGTCCACTCTTGTCCCACACACAGATTTGGGGGGCACATGCCCCCCATGCTTGCCCGCGAGTGCATGCAGCAGCGGGAGCCACTCTTCCCCACCATCCCCACACCCTGCCCCAAATGAGCTGCTTGCAGCTCTGTCCCACACCCCGCCCCAGCTAGGCAGTGCCTATTGGTGCCCCTTTGCTTTGGCACGGGGTGGTCTCCCTTCTCCCCCCCCTCCCTTGCTAACAGCACTGCAGGAGGTCATTTAGTCCAACACCCTGCTCAAAGCAGGGCCATCCCCAACTACATCATCCCAGCCAAAGCTTTGTTAAACTAGGTCTTAAAAACCTTCAAGGATGGAGATTCCACTATCTCTCTGGGTAACCTGTTCCAATGTTTTACTGCCCTCCTAGTGAGAAAGTTCTTCCTAATATCTAACCTAAACTTCCCTTGCTGCAACTTGAGACCATTGCTCCTTGTTCTGTCATCTTCCACCACTGAGAACAGTCTAGCTCCATCCTCTTTTGAACCCCCTTTCAGATATTTGAAGGCTGCTATTAAATCCCCCCTCAGTCTTCTCTTCTGTAGACTAAACAAGCCCAGTTCCCTTAGCGTCTCTTCATAAGTCATGTCCCCCAGCCCCCGCACCATTTTTGTTGCCCTTAGCTGGAGTCTCTCCAATGTGTCCACATACTTTCTGTAGTGGGGGGCCCAAAACTGAACACAGTACTCCAGATGTGGCCTCACCAATGCCGAATAGAGGGGAATAATCACTTCCCTTGACCTGCTGGCAACACACCTACCAATGCAGCCCAGTATGCCATTAGCTTTCTTGGCAACAAGGGCACACTGCTGCCTTATATTCAGCTGCAGCTATCCACTGTAATCCCCAGGTCCTTTCCTGCAGAGCTGCTGCCCAATCAATCAGTCCCCAGCCTGTACTGGTGCATGGGACAGCTACTGAAAAGTGCCATTGTCGTGTGAGATTCTGTGAGATCTTCCTCTCTTCCTGCATGAAAACTATGCAGATTTTCTGCAGAATTTTACACATTACTCTTTACAGGGATTTCACTTGTAAGTGATCTCCACTGCTGCTTTGCCCAGTTAGGCAAGAAAGGAGTGGCTGCACCCACAACTTTTTCAGCTGAAGACAAAGTGATATTGTTATTTTATACATTTTATAACAATAGTATTGAGATTTTAAAAAATAATCAAAACAAAGTTCATGGCAAAGGTTGTTCCCCATAATTCTTAAAAATACCTCCTAAAGCCATGAAGGAACCTATAGAATAGAAAAGTATCTTTGTCTCAGTTCAAGTCTTCATCAGGACTTATAGTAAGTTAGACTTTTAAGAAATGCTTTTCTATCAATGCATGGGAAACAGCCTTTGTAAATTTACAGAAGTCCTGCAAGCACTGATGGGAGAAGACTTGCCTACATGTCACATACCTCTCTCCCCCACCCCAATAAGACGTGTGCCTTGTTTTGGGAAGGCAGAATGAAGAAAAAATATTTTTCCAGTCATACCCTGGCTGAATCCTGACCACAGGGGATCCTGACTGCATGGCTGAATCCTGACTAGCACTGCTCAGGCAAAAGCTAGCTTTAACCCTTTCATAGTTGCTGCCATATTAGCAGTAGCTTTTGGCTGAGGAGTCAAAAGCTGCTGTCAATTCAGCAGTGTCTGTGAAAGAGTTAAAACTAATGCCAAGCAGTGCATTTCATCCCTGTGCAGGGTCCCTATTCTTTAATTCTGGCACAATAAGAGATGCATCCCAATTTTTGGAGGCCTGATTTTTGAGGGGAAAATGCATGTGGTATACAAGTGAATACGGTATGTTCACTTGTATCTCTGACTTTTTGCATTCCAGATTCTCTCTGTTATGAAATAACCTGTTGATATATATTTAATCCTCTAATTCTATGCATTCCAGATCCAAGACGGCAACTGGCATAAGACACAGTTCTACTTTCACACTCAGGACACTAATCAGCTTCCAGTTGTTCAAGTGCATTCATTTCCTCATCTTAAACCAGGACAACAGCACTTCTTAGAAAGTGGTTCAGTGTGCTTTCTTTGAGCTTCCTGACCCTGCTCTGGTGTATCATATAATGGTGGAATTGCTGCAGACAACAAGTAGGGTTTTTTAGGGGGGTGGTTTTAAGAAAAATGAATTTAAGCTGAAATCATCATGAAACTGTGGAAGCATTTTAAAGCAAATTGTTAGTTGTATCTTAAAGAATCTCAGGAAGAAAAAGACTTCCTCCTAAGAAGGAGAAATGGCATTTAAAATAGACTACAACAACATTGATAAAAGATTTTAATTTTTTTTAATATTGGCTGGTGCTTTCGTGTATGATTCCCTGGAACTCAGCACTATATACCTGAACAAGAAATTCTTTGGGACTTCTAGTGTTCTCAGTAACCTATTTAATAGCACTGTACAAGACACCCTAAGGAAGCTGGAGACATGCAGTACAAAGGAGCAATACTGGCTAATGCTCCCAAATGTGCAATAGCTTACATACGAGAGTAAATTATGCCACAGTACAATAAAGGGTTTTTTTTTAAAACACAAATTTTTATTATAGTCCTCTGTGGACACATCATCTGAACAGATGGTACACTACCTCTTACGTGTTTCCTGTTTGTGTTGCCTGGTGCTCTTCTTAACACAAGGTGCTCGTGGCTTAAGTAGATATTATTTGATTTCCTTTTTCTCTTTCAGACTGTATGTACTGGTTACATCAAGATATGTTTCTGTTGTTAGAGTACCTATTTTAAATTGTTGGTCACATACTTTGTTACAAGGAAAACCATTATTTATGTGAAAATTTTTAAACGTGTATGTTTATTATTGTGAAAGTGGCATGAAATAGCACATTGTATATGGTGCTTATGGGCTGGACAGCTTTTTTAGCCATTGTAAAATTGTAGGAAAGCTGCATACAGTAGTTTTGGTCTGTAATTTCTGTACTGCAGTTAACTATTTTAAACGTCCAATGGCGTCTAGGGGATATATTGTGTATATATTTTGTAACTTGTTGAAATTTTTAATGCAGCATGTCTTATGAAGAGCTGCTGTTAAATTATGATAATCATAATCATTTCAGCAACTCAGAAATTCCATTTTTCATGATACTATTGGACAGTTTCAGTTTTCTGTTATTAAATTGAGCCTAAACTGTTCAACCCTCAATTTTGAACAAAATTACACTTCTGCCATTTAAACTGTAATTCTAAAAGGCTTTGCAAACACCATGCCAGCATCCGTTATCAAAGCAATGTTAATTCAGTAACACACAGCAAAATTATACCTCACTGTACTTGAAGGGGAGTTTTCAAACAGCAATTCATTTACACCATGTTTATCCACAGTAGACCACACTTACCCAACTATAATAAAATGTGCTTCAAAAATAACTGTTTCTCTCCTATCATTTTGGTTCCTCTTGTTTTCAGCAACCATGAGAAGTGTACATGGACTCTCTTATTGTAGCAAATTAGTTTTATTACCAAGGGAAGCATATATATATATAGAGAGAGAGAGAGAGAGAGAGATCAATATGCATATTGATATCTATAGATCTATAATATCAATCATGGTCATACAGGATACTGCAAGGTTGTTCACTTTTAGAACACAAAAATACCTGGTCCTCCAATTTTAATCCTTGTGCTGAAGTATCAGTTGTATTCCCTAAAAACCATGAAATATATTTAATGTAAAGAAACAAAATAAAGAATGATATATTAAGGGCAGTGGAGAAGTTGATTCAGTCTTTCAACTGCTATTTCAATGTTTTAAAAGCAGTATCATTGCACGTGTGCAACTGGGATCATATTGTACATATTTGTTTTTTGGAAGAATGACATCTTTGTAGAAGCTGGGGTTTCTCTATACTTTTACTAATATCGTTCTCCTGAGGGCCCTGTTGCACGTTCAGATGAACGCTGGATGGAAACCAGCTGTTACACATTTTCGAGCACTAACTCTGTAGCTGGTTGGCTGGCTTTATAACTGGATAGTCATTTTATGGTGCGATAATTACAGTGCTCATCACCCATCTGCAGTTATTACACAATGGACCAGTGACTGGTGCAACGTATGTACCACGTAGCAGGGGCCTCATTGTCACTGAAACCTTTACAGCTTATTCTCAATGGTTGGTTTATTGCCAGCGCTTCTGCTTCCCAAAGGCAGCGCTGTGTTAAAAGAGCAAATGCCTTTTTAGATGTTAACAAGTTATTTAACAGTAACCATGTCATAACCCCGTGCTTATCCCGCGTCCAAGCGTTATTGTCGCTGATGAGCCGGGTTCCTCGACACCACTCAAATGCGAGGAGGTGCAAATATTTTTGCGAGGTGGTTGGTTGTATTTTTGCGAAGAGCGTTTAACCCTGAGGAGCCACCTCAGTGCCTCCCCTCCGCGTCCACGTTAACCTTCTTTTTTTTTTCAAAAATATTTATTGACAGACCGAAACGCACTTGGGCAGTTAAACGAGATCAGTCCCAACGGTCCTCGACACCACTCAAATGCGAGGAGGTGCAAATATTTTTGCGAGGTGGTTGGTTGTATTTTTGCGAAGAGCGTTTAACCCTGAGGAGCCACCTCAGTGCCTCCCCTCCGCGTCCACGTTAACCTTCTTTTTTTTTTCAAAAATATTTATTGACAGACCGAAACGCACTTGGGCAGTTAAACGAGATCAGTCCCAACGGCTAAGGGCCTTGGGAATCAGGGGAAACACCCCGTGCGGAGCGCCCGCCGCCGCCGCCTCATTGCGGGAAGTCCCCGGAGCA